TATATATATATATATCTGTATATATACATTACATATATACACACGTATATATATATATATATTGTTATGCATAGAAATAATCCTGCTGTCAATTTTCATTTGTTGACAAATCTATATTTATCGACAGTTAGTGTTTATTTCTCTCCGAAATGAAATAGCGATATATGTCGAAAAAAATTGTAAATTAGAGGGAAATAAGCTGAGATCTCTTTCTGTGAAATCTTCAATTTAAATTCGTAGAAACGTTCAGTATAGAGATCAAGGTTGAGGCGTGTTCGGGACACTCTGTGCTCGTATATATTTACTTCGTATATTGAATATACGATGTAACTAATAAGTTTTATCTTTAACACGTTCACGACGAAGTGTTCGACCAGTAATGTGTACCCACTTCCAGATTAGCAAGAGAGTAATCCGATTACCCGAAATGCAAAATTACCAAAAACAATTATTGAGAAAGAAAATCAATCGCCTCTCGAAGTTGGGACCAACGAAACAACCGTTGTCGCGAACGTGTTAAGCCAGCCGAATCAGGCCGTGATAATATAAGTAACGTCTGTTGACGAATTGAGCGACAATTGAGAGAACGTTCGACAACGATCTCGCAATCGATCATTTAGGTGCGATCGTGTTCACATCTCGGCGTAGATAACACACAACTACTACTATTGATCGCGTTAAGAAGTAGCACAAACGATACGAAAAGTAGGTCGAGATCATGTTACATAAACGAGACCAATGCTGTACGATTAATCTAACGACTCTCAGCGATCTATACGCCTACTTGTCTACGCTCTTTGAGCGAAATTGTACTGTGTATTACGATTCCGGTGAGCATGTCAATTACGCGAAACTCGTCGTTTTGTCTCACGTCCACCGCCACCGTCTCGCGCGTCGACAGCCACACGCGATGCGTGTGTCGCGCGCGAGCCGCGATCAAGTTGTACGGTAGGTAATAAATTATTGAGTTACGAATCACACGCTGTATCTCTGATTTACAACACGGATTCTCATAAGCACCGGAAAGTATGAAATATTAAAGGGTACCTAAAGGGAGCCTCTACGTCTAGCCGAGTTCACGCGGGATAAGTGGGAATTGCTTTGATTCTGAGCGATCGTTTAACACTTGTAAGTATATGTGCCTTTTGGTAAGCAAGAAACATTAAACCAATCCTTCGAAACGTCGATTTTAATGAACATTCGGCATGATATTTTATAGATTTTGTTTTTAAGCTGTTACTTGATAATATAAAATTCCTAAATATTAAGTTCACGGTGAAGTAGAAATATGTTATTTTTAATGTTTCGGTCAAATATTGTTGATAATATTATATGCAATATTAAGAGCTACATATCGAAGACATTACACGTTATAAAATATCATTGTGATAGCGTTGTATTAATGATTTCTTGCCTACTAGGTTAGTAATGACGATTAATTGACGAGGAAGCATGCATTGTTAGCAAACATGTTCTCCCAGACAGCACAATGTCCAAAATCGGGGATACATAAAAGACGACTTGAAGACATCTTTAAAATGTCTTGAAGACACCTTGTATCCCGATTTTAGATATTATGCTATGTGGACAGTTATGTGTCATAGGTATCATTTGTAAACGAATATTTCAAAATCCTCCATTGCAAAAGTCGCTTGCGATAAGTCGCGTTGTAATTTCAAACGTGCTCGTTCGAGTGATTGCTTCATAACGCATTGTATCATGCTTGCGATATATATTTGTTTTCTGGGAAAAAAAGATTATATATAATTATATATAATCATATGTAATTTATATATGAATTTTTTTCTCTATATAGCTACATATATAATTACATGTCCACACGAAATAAAAATACTGTTGGATGAAAAGCGAAAGAAACATTGAATTAAATGTTTACATCATGGATAGCCATAAACATGAGCATTTACTTCAATTACACTCGTACAACAATATTGTTTAGATGTAGAACATATATAATTATATATGATTATGGATGGACGTATATAGATAAAAAATTCATGTATAATCATTTTTCCCCGAGTTCTTACGTGGACGCGCTACGTTGTGTCCCGTTTCGCTCGCTTGCTTGTAATTTTGGTTTACGTTACAGCCGCATTACAGTTACAATTAAATTACAACTAAACGATTGAGTGAAAAGTTGCTCGAAACTTCGGAACGTATCGGAAAAGAGAGAGTTCCTTGCTCACATATTAAAGTATACCAGAAGCACGAAATTGAAATACGTCCAAATGCTCATTCCATCTTGTTCTGACGAGGTATATTTCTGTTAATTGCAGGACGAATCGAGCCCGCTGCAAGCGAGAACACAGTCGTACGGCGGAATTAATAATAATACAGAGGACCCCGTGCACAATTAGGTCCTAAAATTAATAAAAATTCCCGCTCTCGAACAATCGATATCCGATACGACGACTTCAATTAAGGCTGAGTTCCGATATTCACCTGCAGCATTAAAAATCTATAATTCATGTTACGTACACTATAGATTTTCAATATTGGCAGTGAGCATCGAAATGCATGCTTGAGTAAGGCTGACATTTAAAAATAACCGTTTAATATATCTAGATTTTCTTTCATTCATCTACCGTACGAATATTATTACGACGAATATTATCTGTATAAGGTAACGAACAAAACTTACTGATTATAAAGATTTATACAAATTTAGATACGCCTATCTACTTCCTATGTGTGTCCGTAGCATACTTGTACTCATTCAATAAATGATATTTAGCAATTCAATGAGCATGCAAATCCCTCCAATTAATATCCACAGTTGCACATCGCAGCTGCTGGATCCAAAATTACTTGTCTTTGCGAATCAATTTGATATCACGCGCGTGTATAACTCTTACATATCCTTTACCTTTGTATCTCTTGTACATCTGCGGCGTTGATCAAATGTCAGATATCAGGTCTGCTCTCAGTTGCATCATATTGCACTTTCTGCGCCTGCTTTTAAGTGCAGAAGTACAGCTCAAACGAGCAGATATATCATTGACCTTTGTATATATCAGTATGTACATATTTATTCATTATTGTTATCAAAATACAATTTATTCACGCTCCAGGACAAGTAGCGTTAAGCACATTATCCGTGAGGTTAGAAATAACTAATTGCGAGTAACCTTAATTATAACGTTAAGGTATGTACGACGTCCGGGTATGCCCAGATCGGAGGTGATATGAACCTACCATTACACAGCTGTCAGAGATCGCAGTGGTCTTCACCATCGCGCACGTTGTGCGGAACGGTCTGTTGCGCTTCCCTTGCAAATGTGAAGAATTCACGGTCGCAATGGGGATACTGGAGAAGATCTCGGAGATCGAGAAAGAAATCGCGCGAACGCAGAAGAACAAGGGTGAGCGTCTCCTCGTTGTTACAATTTTGCGCCTCTTAACCTATTTCCTTGCCGATACTGCACAGCTACGCCGCTGAAAGATAGACAATTTGAATACACTCGAGGCAACCGTGAGCATTCGGGAATATTCAGTCGTAAATAAGATTTCTCTGTACAATTCGCCAGCGACCGAATACCATCTGGGCTTGCTGAAGGCGAAACTCGCCAAGTACAGGTCTCAGCTGTTGGAGCCGACAAAGAAGTCCGAGAAGGGCGAGGGTTTCGATGTGCTGAAGTCTGGAGACGCTAGGGTAGCTCTCATTGGCTTCCCGTCAGTTGGCAAGTCCACTCTGCTCAGTACCTTGACACATACCGAGTCGGAAGCTGCCTCCTACGAATTCACCACCTTAACGTGTATCCCTGGTGTTATCGAGTACAAGGGTGCAAATATACAGCTGCTGGATCTACCTGGTATCATAGAAGGCGCTGCACAGGTACAGAGAACTTACATGTCAAAGAATCATCTCCTTACAATTTAGTGATTATTTGTCTTGTTTTTTTTTTTCTTTTATATATATAGAACATTTAACACACTTGCATTACTGTAGGGAAAAGGACGAGGTAGACAGGTCATAGCTGTTGCTAGAACAGCGGACTTGGTTCTGATGATGTTGGACGCGACCAAGCAGGACGTTCAGCGACAACTCTTGGAGAAGGAGCTGGAATCAGTCGGGATCAGACTGAACAAGAAGAAGCCGAATATATATTTCAAAGTGAAGAAAGGCGGTGGGTTGGCTTTTAACTCGACGTGTCCTCTTACGAAGGTAGATGAGAAATTAGTCCAGATGATCTTGCACGAGTATAAGATCTTCAACGCCGAAGTGCTGTTCCGCGAGGACTGCGGCGCAGACGAGCTGATAGACGTCATCAACGCTAACCGAGTATATTTGCCCTGCCTTTATGTATATAACAAAATAGATCAAATATCGATAGAGGAAGTCGATCGAATCGCTAGGCAACCCAATAGTGTTGTAGTTAGGTAGGGTATGCTCTGAAATTTATCAATTTCACGAGATTCACTACTGTCTCTCGTGTGAATGACGCTAATTTGATCTGATTCTTGTTCTTTTTTTCTCTCTCTCTCTCTCTCTCCGCCCTTCTCCTCGCAGTTGTAACATGAAGTTGAACCTTGACTTTCTATTGGAAACGCTGTGGGAGTATCTGTGCTTAATAAGGGTATATACAAAAAAACCTGGACAGCCGCCCGACTTCGACGACGGTTTAATATTGAGGAAGGGAGTCACGGTTGAACATGTGTGTCACGCTATTCATCGTACACTCGCTCAACAATTCAAGTACGCCCTTGTTTGGGTAAGTTGTATGTCCACATATTTGACAATCAAACGTGTAGTATCGTGTCGTGTTCGATATTTATGAGTCGTGTGTTCGCAGGGCACGAGTACCAAATATTCGCCTCAAAGAGTAGGACTGCAGCATGTGATGCATGATGAGGATGTCATACAAATAATGAAGAAATAAGCTTCCATGGGAAATTTGTGAAACACTGTTAAAGATAAAATGCGAATAGCAATATAGGCCTTACTTAGCCTTCTCTACATTAATACATGACACACATATACACGAATAAATACAAACAGCCGACACCGGAAACTTGTCAAATTCAAACGGTTTCAAAGCGAATGTGTTTGAATTACATATTTTAGGAAGCTTGTGGCCCCCCCACGATCATCGTTACAATAAAATTTTTGAAAATAAATTTTTATAATATAGAGAAAACCACACATTGTGAAGTTACAACGAAACTTTTACATTATTTATATTACCTCTTAATGATTGGCACACAGAGTAATCGATCGGTTTCATAAAAAGATATAACAATTTTATAATTCATCTCTTTTCTTTTCTCTCTCTCTCCTTAATTATTGATATCATGAAAACCGGTCAAATTAGTTATTTGATTATATTATTTATAAAATACAAAGGTTCTCCGATTTATCGTTGTACCGTAACCCTTTAAACTGTAAGATTCGGCTGATTTATCGTTGACTTGTCACATCTCGAATCCTCGGTTAGGAAAGTGGCGGCTCGTAGCGGAGACTTTGGAACTAAAAACAACGTCCACATCTGAAAAATAACGGGTCTTGAGATTGCGAAGAATTCTTCAGACCCGTTAATTCTCAGCCTGTGATGCCGCAATTTAGTTCCAGAGTCTCCACCACGAGGCGCTACTTTCCTCAACGAAGGTCGTGGTACAACTCAACGGCAAGTCGGGAGAACGTCATTTCAAATAGTACTACCTACGACTAAAGCAGCCAACACGAGATTTTCAAGTTTGAGACATTATCCTCTCAAATAATACAACTCAACAGTAGATTACAACTTCTTTACTTCTAAGCAGCACGGTCGTTTTTAATAATCGTTATAAATGAGCAATTTAAGGTAATTTTCCAGTATATAGTACACCCTACAAAGATCCGGACGTTACATTGCGTAACGATCGACTCGGATTCGAAACTCGGCACGCTCGCTCGCGGTGGAGAATCGGCTTTTGATTACCGAATTCGAGGACAGTCGCGCGCGCGCGGCGATTCTCCACGTTCTGAATAATGAATGACACTCGCAATTGGACGACAGCACCGCGAAGAATGCGCGAATGTGGATGCTTACGGGGCATTGTTCGTTTCGCTTAGTCACTTTGTTCTTCTTCGTTTTTATCGACACCCTTCTCTCTCTCTCTCTCTCTCTCTCCTCTCTCCCTCGCCCGTTTCTTCGCTCGATTTCCCCTCCCCCTACTTCTCTTTCTCCTCCGTAACGCACACGAAAATGCGCTCGCCATTCGCGAGACACACATCCTGATTACTAATTCACGTAGCCGCGGACTACTTCCCCGCCTGGTTGTGACACCAAATCCCATATTCCGGCCGAATGGAGAGTCGAGACCAAGAGAGCTCGATGATCGAGCGGCCGATTCGCGCCGGATCTTATACAGGGTGTCTTTACTGGAGAGCTATCGGTAAGTCTCGCCGAGTTCGTCGGTCTTTCCGTCGGGTCCCCACCTCGAGGAAGATTACGAACTATGGACTTATTTTCCTGAAAATGGCCCACCGAAGCCATCCTTTTCTAATCGGAAGAAATTCAATATCAATGTCAATTATTCCGTGTAATTAAAGAAGGTCGAGACTGCTCGTGCCAGGATCTAGATGGAAAGATAAAAGTATTTTCGTAATAATGACATGTCAAGATAATAGTGGAACAATAAGAGGACGATTATAGACAGCAACACGGAACAATATAATTCACACATCAGTTGCCCCGTGTCATTAAAGCAAATTAAGCAGAAGTAGATTACACATGAAGGTGCTGCACCGCTGAGATAATTGCGGCGTAATTATAACGAACGAATGAATGAGAGGGAGGGAGAGAGAGAGAGAGAGAGAGAAAGAAAAAAAGGAAGAGAGAGAATCATGAAATTGACACGCGCGATGCAATTGCGGTTGATCGCGTGATGCATCGTCGCGATTAATCCGAGCTAATCGAGCCCTATTATCTGCCGCTTCACAGATCCGTGTCATGTCGCTCACTCGCATTATCGCATCGCAGATCCGTATCGTAATGACGGTAGAAATCGAACATAGTTATCTGTTAACGAGGACTATATTTACGCCGCAGAAGGAACGGAAAAAATAATTCCTTTCGAGCACCCGCTGAGATATCTCCGGGAATCGAAATGTTTCAGGGGAGGGGAACAAAATGAAGAAGAAGAAAGTAAGAAGAGAGAGAGAGAGAGAGAAAGAGAGGAAGAGATCACTTAAAAATTGCAACAAGAACCCAGTTAGCAGAAACTTTTAAAAGAAGCCTTAAGAAGATCTTAAGAACGTCTAAAAGACGTCCTGCTTCTTTAGACTTCTTTTAAGTTGATTTAAAGCGTTCATAAAACGCCTTTTAGAAGCTTTTGCAAACTGGAAACGAAATAAACGTCTAAGGAGAGTTAACCGGGGGATCAGTTTTTAGAAAGGGAAAAGTTGACGAAAGTCGACTCGACGGAATAAATAACGCCAAACAGAGTGGAGCGAGCGAGCATATGCGAAGATCATCGGGAGTAGTCTCGAGGCGTGAAATCGTCCGGCTGAGAAACTGGAATGTATCGTGTAAAAATCCCCGGCCGCTCCGGGCGTTAGACAGAGCGGATGCTGGCAATATGTTCCATCGGTAGCTAGACGCCGTTCCAGAAGGAAGTCGCCCGGTATTTACAGTTAGACGATCAGCCCGATGACGGTCGAGCGCGTTGCTTTCGCTCCTCGTTCACGGGAACGAAACGTTTCGTTTCCGTCGGAGTCGTCCCGGCGAAGGCCGAGTCCCGATCCTGGCCTGTAATCCGGAAGAGGTGAGGTCAATTAGTTAATCAACCGATGGCGATTTTTGCGCGAGGAACTCACTTGTTAGATTTATAAAGACCCACGCAACGTAAATGTTCAGAATATGTCTCGGAGATGAAAACATATAAGACAAGAAAGATGTCTTTCGGGTGTCTCTAGAATGTCTTTCGGACAGAAATGTTTAGGACATTATTTAAATGATTTCGAGGGGGGAATAACGCGGAAGGAAATTTTTTCTTACGGTCATTTATTTTTTTTAAGTCCCCATATTTAGATGTTCTCCTTATGTCGGAACATCCTGTACATTATAATAATATTATATAATAATAAAATAATAATGATATAATAATGAAATATATTGATTATATTAAATATATTTACTATATTTTTATACATTACAATTAATATATTATACTATTAAATATATATATTTTATTTTCATACTATGCAATATATATATATATATATATATATATA